AATGAGTAAATATGATCTAAATTAGGGAAATACTTTCAATGAATACTACAACATCCATCAAATTAATAATTTTTATACATGCAAAAACATCCATAAAAATTAAGAGCATGTTTCTTATGATGGAATGAAATGAGAGCGAGAATGGAATATAAGGTTGAATGGAATGGAATGTCCATTCTCATTCCATGTTTTCAATTGTTTGGTTGCAAACATGGAATGATATAGGAATATCATAATAATTTTCATTATTATGTTTGGTTTTGGCTATTATCTCATGGAATGGAATAAGTTTTTATTATTTATTATTTATTTTTTAACAAGCTAGTAACAAATGAATTAAAAATTTATATAGATGATGATAATGTTGATAGTTGTGGAAGTGATGGTGTGAGTCGTAGTGGTGGTGGCGGCGACGGCATCGGTGATAGTGATAGCAATGATAGTAGCATGGTGATAGTAGCTTGGTGGTAGTAGATTGTTGTGGCCTTAGTGGTGATGGTAAGGTGATATTATGACTGCGATGGTGGTGGCAGTGACAGCAGCCAGCGTTAGTAGAGTGGTGGTTCTCGTGATGACGATGGTAGTGGTGTGATATTTATGAAGGTGGTAGTAGTAGTAGTAAGGTAGTGGTCGTGGTGGTAGAGGCAGTAGTAGTAACGTGAGTGGTGGTAATATGGTGGTGTGGTGGTTGAGGTGGCGATCATGGTGATAGTAGTAGTGGTGTTGTGGTGGCAATAGGGTGGCAGTGGCGGTGACAGTGATAGGAAAATGGAATGGTGATAGCAGCCAAATAATAATATATTTTGTAGTGTTAACAAAAAATAATAATAATAATAATAATTTTTTTTATTAATTCCATGATGGAATTAAATAGTTATTTCTTAAGTTTGAATAGGCATTCCCACATTTCGTTGGAATAGACATTCCAATGGAATGACTATTCTTACTTAGATAAGGAATACCAAATAAGGAAAAGTGAATGCAAAGCTGCAATGGGCATTCCATCGTAGTTCATTCCATCGTACCAAACGTGCTCTAAAACCTCTAATTCCTCAAGAAAAGAAACTCCAAGCTTTGATCCTTCAAGAGGTTAAGAAAAATCTAGAGTTGAAACTTCTTTTGAGCTATTTTCGAAGAAAGCGGAGTGGACGATCGGAGCTTTTTCCGACGAAGTAAGATGGGCGGCGGTGGTGGAGATGGTGGGTTGAGGTGGTGGTGTAAGGGTGGAGTAAATGTGGGGTGTTTGGTCAACAAGAAAGTAAGGAAAAAATGAGAGAAAGACAGAGAGAAGTTAGAGAGAGAAGAATGAAGACAAAATGAAATAAAAATCTGCAAATTTTTTGTTTTTTTTTTTTTTTTTGATTTAAAAGGTGATGTTTGGTCACTGTCAAGACTCAAACCCGCCCCTATGGGTTTAGCACCGTAACCGGCCAGTAATCTGTGATTACCAAAGGCTTGCTTAACAGTAAAGACAGTATTACAGAGTACAGGGGCTAGCAGAAGCCAAAACAGTAATTAAAGACGTCCAATGAGCTATGATAGTCTGTAAGCAAAAAGACTTTCCAGAACATATTCACATTCAGAACCAAAACAGTATATGCAAACATCATAAACAAACATTCAGGTTAATGACCAAATCCCTACCATAACAGTACAGTACAAGTCTTATTCAGTATTACAAAACAGAGACAGAAAGGTGAACTGAGACATCCTAAAAATAGCCGTGGCCTGAACGGACTCGGAACCTTGAAGTGAGGCACGATGGTTGACTAGACAAAAAGGGAGTTTAACCCAACGCTCCTAGCTCCGATTCGGTGCCTGAACACCTACATATAAATATAAACAGTGAGCTAAAGCTCAGTGAATAACATATGCGTAAAGAGGTTGAGAATGAATGTCCTTTCAGTATTTAAACAGTCATTTACAATAGTATATCAGTCATTCAGTCTGTGGCTCATATTTCATGCCATAACAGTCATTTAGAAACCATAATAGTCATATGTGGTACAGCCAATAGCAAAACAATACAGTAGGTCTTAATAGACCGAACAGTCAGTTGATGGCCATCATATCAGTAAACAGTAGTGGTTCCAATACGGGAACCGACAGAGATCTCTGTAACAGTAGCAATAATAGTACAGCAATAGTAAATTGCTATGGATGTAACGAATACAGTTTACAAATAGGACAAACATTCATTGAGTAAGAAATATCATTTCAGAAAGCAGTATAGTTGTTCATTCAGAAAGTATTCATGATTGAACATATCTTTACAACATTGTTACTCACAGAGTACTGGGCTATAGATAGTCTAGTGAGCGTCCTCGGATGCCAACCCTACACAGTTACAGAATGAACACACACTAAGTTACACACTTGGGAAACAATAACTCAGTCTCTATCTTGACTCGGTGTGGTTCTACATCAATGTCCTCATTAAGATGCCTTAAACTAGGCCTAGAATGCCTAGGATGAAATGAGGATGCAACAATGCACTTTAAAACACTTTTCAAATTTTTGCTGAAACAGGGGTCTCGTTCTAGCGTGGATTTCTGCGCTCGAGCGGACATGCAGACAAAGGAGCTCTGCTCGAGCGTGATTTCCTTCGCTTGAGCGGACTGCAAACTTCATGAAAAGTACTGGATGCATGCAATCCACGCTCGACGGACGCTCGACCTCCGCTCGAGCGTGAGACACAAGTCCTCGCTCGAGTGTACATTCTCTCGCTCGAGCGGACTGTAAACATATGAAAAGTACTAGATACACGCATTTCACGCTCGAGCGTTACTTTCCCCGCTCGAGCGGACTGCATGAACTCAGAGTGTACGCTCGAGCGTGGAGTTCCCCGCTCGAGCGTGGATCCAAAATCTGGAATTTCCAAATTTGTCTCCAAGCACAAAACTCAATCTTTAAAGTTTCAAATTCGATCCTTTTGGGCCAATTTTCTGGAAAACACTTTAAAACCCATAATATGACATGTTTCAAAGATCAATTTACAAAACCAAGGCCCAAAGGTAGTTCAAATAAAATACAATTTCAACAAAACTTCATGAACATAATGTATATGTAACATGCAAGTGTTCAATTGAAATCAAAGCTTCCAATACAAGATCAAATAAGCCAATCCTTCCAAAAACATGATGAATTCATGAACTATAACCCAAATATAGACATGCACGTAGCAAATTTCATGGAAAAGACCTCAAAACTTAAGAATGTGTACATGCATGCATGGAATCACTCTTAATTCAACACTTTAATTTAATTCTAGACCTTAAGCTCCTATTCCTCCATGAATCAAGCAAGAAATGACTTGAATTCATAAACAAGAAGGTAAATATCCTACCTTAGGTCTTCAATTTTAGGTATAGAAGCTCAATTAGGCAATCAACCTTCAAATCTTCTAAGTTTCCAAGCAAAACTCTTGATGAAACCAATTTTCCTCTACTCTCCCTCTCTCTCACGGTTTGGGCTAAGGAAGTGGCTGAAAAATGATGTATGAAGGTGCCAAACAAAGTTTGTAGGAAATGGCCACTCAATGGCAATTTGGTAAAAAGTGCAAACTAATGTGATACAACTTTATTTAATCTAATTTAATCATTCCCAATCAAATTTAAATTAAACCTACCATAAAATTACATAAATTCCAACTAGCATAAAACACTAATCGGTTTCGGATTCGGCCGCCGATAAGGCCTTCAATTTACAGTTTAAAACATAAAACATGAACTAATCAATCAATTGATAAATAGATAGAAATGCAATCAAACAACATACTAATGCAATCAGTTTAAGATTTCATCCTAATCGGTTACTTATCATGTTCAGTCACAGTTTAGCAGTAATCAGAGGTGATGGTTGTCACAGTCACACCTACAATTAAGTTTGGAATTGGGTTTAGATATCCTAAGTGACTTTTAACTTGGGGGTGTGTTTGGCTCCAAATAAATGTTGGGTATATTATGGATCCATTTGTTTTGGGTTATAGGAAATGAGATTGAATTATGATGTATGTGGGGTCCATTAATATTATATTTGTTTATAAAATGGGAAAGACGATTCACAATACTTTGGGATTATAATAGGTTTCCGTAGATGTGCTAGTAATTCTCCATGGGAGATGATATTAGAAAAGCAATCCCTTCGGATTAGAGAAAGATCTATTATTTTGCCCTCTATTATCGTACCTAATTTACTTACTCTACTTAATTAGTTACCAACATTCACGGACACATGTCCGGATCACTGTACAACAAGGGTAAACCCGGGATCGCTATAATTAGTATGGTCTTTACTTTACTATTTTTTTTTAAAATTATTCTACTATTTTTTACTCCACCATTCTTTATATTAAAATAATTTAATATAAAAATAATTTTTAATATAAAAATATAATAGTATAATAACATTTATATCAAAAAAATTATATTAAAAAAATAAAATATTACCAAAAAATATATATATTTATGAAATATAATTTTTAATATTAAAATATAATTTTAATATTTATAAAATATATATTCAATATTAAAATATGTAATGCATTATTAGTTAGTATAAGTCCAAATATGATAGTAATAAAACAAGAATATTTGTGAAATTTTAGATGGCTAATTTCACTCATATCTCTCAAAATAAACCGAAACCATTACTAATGTACTAATTATCAGACAAACATAATTTGTTTTCGTTTTGAGAAACAAATTTTGGAGAAATTTTTTTTTTGGTTTAGTGATTTTGAAAAAAAAATTTCAAAATCACTTTCTATTTCTTACACATCAATCAATTACTTTTTCTCTCTCCTCTCTCTTTTTCAATTACTATTGCTCACACACACATCTACTTAATTACAACAAAATATCAAATCATTCAAAACTTCCATACTCCAAAACTATTTCCAAAATATACAACCAAACAAACTAATCTTTTTTTTTAAACTCTTCTAATTTTTTTTTTGGTTAAAAATTTATCTCCCAAACCAAACCAACCAAAGCAAACAAGGCCATTGATAAATTTAGTCGCTTCACTAACCATCCGTGTATATATGTCCTCTTCTATTCATTATTACAATTTGCAAGATCTGCAGATAGGTGAGCAAAAAGCTAAGGTGAGCTATTCTTTGCTTAAATTATTGTCGTTTCACCTCATCCTTCATTTAAACAAACTACTATAAACTTTTACATCAAAACTTTGATTGATAGTTATTGTTTCATTTCTCTTTCTTTATGGGGTGATCATGTTCTGTTTCAATTTGATAACTACACTATGCAAAAGCTGATCGTTTTCATTTTTTTATTGTTGAGGTTTGGTAAGACATTAAGCTCTTTAAAGCTGAAGAAAATTGATGTGGAAATTCTTGTGAATCTTGTTGGTGACAAGGAAAGATATTTAAAATCTCACATGGTGCTAAAATCTTGGGATCTTAGAGGTATATCTTTTTATTTTGCGGACTTATTTATCTAATGCTCTTTTCTCTGAATATTTTCGTAGATCTTCTTAGCATCAATACAGGATTAAAGCAAGTATTGTCTCCTTTATGATTTTTTCATGTTTCTGCAGAATTTTCTTTTCCGTACACCCTTCATCCAAAGTTGGATATCTCTATCTCACCATGACTCCGGATTGAATAAGATTGATGGTGTTGAAATTTTATCGTTCATATCTAGATCGGGTTATTCTCGACATTGTTTGAGAGGTAAAAATCTACCTAAGTTCCCTTCTCTTTTTCAAATCAAGCTCTTTGAATCATAAATTTAGGTATGAATTTAAAAAAAGAAAAAAAAGGAAAAAAAAAAGAAAAGAAATTTGTGAGACAATTGTTAATAAAATATAAGTTAAATTTTTTATTTTTTTTGTTTCTTTTATTGTCAAATTTTTATTGAGATCTATATCCAAATATAGTGTTATTTCTTTGTTTGAAATTTGCATTCAATCAACGAAGCTATGTTTGTATGCTACATTGACGATATGAATATAGATGGAGTTGTGTCCTGGGCCGAATAATAAATATATACTCAAAATTTTATTTGAAAATTTATCAGAAAATTTTCTTTCAAGTATTTGAATCCAAATTAATAAATAACATATTCTTGTATTTTAATAAGTCTTATTATTTAGATATGAGAAAAGTTAGGGATTATGAAATTTTTTACATGAAAATGATTATGAAAGATTTATGATCCTTGGATTAACTTGATTAGTGTGTGGTGCTTTATTTTAAGTGTAATCCAAGAGTTACAAAACTTTCATGATTATTTTCATGAAAGATTTTTCATGATACCTAGTATTGCTGTTTAGATATTTGATTCATTAAATTTTAATTCTCATATTTAAGACATTTTTTTGAACAATTAGTGATATAAACATTTATATTTGTGTTCACGTTGACACGTGAATGTTCACATTAACAAGGTGAATATTCACATTGTGGTCCGTTCACACTGTCAATGTTAACATTAATGCGCATTATCCTATTATTATTAGAGATATTTTAGTATTTGTGTCACTTATAAGACTTACTAGAATATAAAAAAATAATTTAAATTAAGTAAAATATAAGTAGGTAAAAAAGAATTTATAAATAAACACCTCAATTTTATTCAACATTATTTAATTTAATTTTTTATTTTTTATTTTAATGCATGGACCTAAAAAACAGCTCTTGAATCTCCATCACAGGTTTAAAATATGGACAAAATTCTTATTAATTTTTTGGACTGTAAATTTTGTGGTCCTGGACCTCCTTAACTTTAATCTTAAGATATACAAGTATTTGAAGACTAGATTACTGTCTTTTTTCCGATGTATCCCAAAAAAAAAAAAAAAAACCTAGATTATCAAGTTTCGGAAGGCTACCATAAGCTCCATGTTTATGATTCCAATTCATGTATATTATTTTTTAAAAATAAATAACAAACATAATTTAAAAATACATCATTAATTTTTTAAAGATAAATACATTAAAATTATGTAATTATATTTATCGAATCAATATAATTTTTTTAAGAATAATTTAAACACACGTATTTAAAAAAATATAATTTGAAAGGTAAATTACATACCCCCTCAACTCTGACCTAGTTTTGAGTTGTCCCCTTGGGTGTGTTTGTTTGGACAGATTGGATAAGGAGGGATTGTAATTCATCGGACTGTTAGTCCCGAGATACATTATTTCCGGACTATTTGGTTGAATTGGATTTGTATCTTATGTTTGTTTAGTCATGGGATTAGATGTTTGGATTTGACTATTTTTAGTGAATCCAATATTCGGTTAGACGGACTGGATTAGGGATGGCAATTTCAACCCGGCCTGACGGGGACCCGATCCCCCGAACCCGATTAGAATGGTTTTTCTCTGAAAAATACCCCCGCGGGGATCGGATGGTATTCAAAATTGAATCCCCGATCAGTTTCGGGCCGGGGACGGGAATAGCTTTCACAGCCCCGGATCCAGCCAAGCCCCTGCCTTGGCCCCGTTTCCCCAATGTGAAATTACTGTTATGCCCCTATATATATATAAACTAAACCCTAACATAAATTTAATTTTTTAACAACACTAAAAAAATTTAATTTATAAGGCCATAATTTATAATTTATTATTTTTAATTGAATTAAATTTACAATTTATAATTTATATTTTTTATTTAATATAAAATTTAAATTAAAAACACTAAAAAAATAATTTTATTTAGTATATAAATTTAATTTTTTAACAACACTAAAAAAATTTATTTACTAAGGTCATAATATATAATTTATTATTTTTAATTAAATTTAATTTATAATTAAATTTTTTTATTTAATATATAATTTTAAATTAACAACACTAAAAAAATAATTTATAAATATTCAAAAGATTATTTTACCCTTTTCTAATTGTTTGCTAAGTAATAGTATGAGGGTAAAATGGATATTTCAGAGCCTAATCCCATAGGATACCAATCCCATGGAAACAATCTCACCCCCTCCCATGGGGTAAGATAGTCCCACAAATATGGAACTAATAGTCCGGGGGGACTATTAGTTCGGAGTAAAAAAAAAATGAAACAAACAATGGACTATTAGTCTTGTGGGGCTAATAGTCCAATCCCATACCTTAATCCTTCAAAACAAACACACCTAAATGTTTGATTGGACGGACTGGATAAGAGGGGATTAGAATCCATCAGACTTGAGTCCTGGGACTGTGAATCTCCCGGACTATTTGGTTAGATTGGATAGGGCTGAGCAAGTGATCCGTGAAATCCGTAATCCGAACCAGTCCAGTCCAATCCGATAGGTTTGGATTGGTTTTTTGAATCCGCGGTTCAGTTCTGGATTGAAGAATTAAAAATCCGTAGTCTACGGATTGGTTCCGGATTAAACCCCACGGTTCCGGATTGGAACCGATCCGAACCGTATACAAATAGTCTATATTTTTATTATACATCCCCCCTATAATAGCTTCTCTTAATTCTATATAAAATCTAAACTCAAACCTAAAACCTTATAATATCTTCTTTTATTACTCTTGTTTGTTGGTTTTTAGTTTTAATTTGTAATGGTTTAAATACTTATAGTGAAACCAATTTTCTTATGGTTGTTTAAATTTTAGAACAGTATGTCGCTATTATAGAAAAATATGTTACTATTGTAGAACTAATATAACGCTATGTTTATATTTTTATAAAATTAAAGTGTTATAAATATATTTTTGTTATTTAATTATGTAAATCCGTGGTCCTAAACCGATCCAATCCGTATTTAAATGGATTGGTTCAGATTGGTTCCATGATTTAAACGGATTGGATTGGTTCCAATTTTTTAGGAATCGTAGATAACGGATTGGTCCTTGTTTTATCTAAATCCGGTCCAATCCGGACCATGCTCACCCCTAAGATTGGATATGTATTCTGTGTTTGTTTTATCATGGGATTAGATGTCTGGAAAAGACTATTTTTAGTAAATTCAACGTTTGGTTGGACGGATTGGATAAGATAAATGAACAAAAGACTATTTTACCATTTTTTAATTATTTACTAAGTAATAACAATATTAAACATATCTTTAATATTTTAATTATTTTTAGCTAGATTAAATAAAAATTTATTTTATTTTATTTTTTACACAATTAAATGAATTTATTTTTTAATTAAATAAATAAAATATCAATAAAAATATATGCTATTTTTTTAATTAAAATTTTAAATAAATTTGTTTTTTTAAAAAAAATAATAATTAAACAATAAAATTAAATAAAACATCTATTAACATTTAAATAATGAAATTAAATAAAATATAAACAAAATTTTAAAATAAAACATTAATAAAATATCTATAAAAAATTATTTTAAAAAATTAAATAAATAAAACATCAATAAAAAGTTAAATAGAATTATTTTATTTTTAAATTGAAACATTTAAATTTTATTGAATTTTACTAAATATAATACATAATTAAATAGTAGAGGGTCAAAATGGTCATTTTACCACCTAATCCCAACAGTAAATAGTCCTCCAAAGCTGTCTCACACCCCCCTTGGGATAGTATAATCCCACATATGGGGGATAAGGAGTTCGGCTGGACTTCATCATGTCCCGCGGACTAAAAAAAAAACAAACGATGAACTACTCACTCCTTTAAATAAGCAATCCGAATAGTGAATAGTTTCCCCCTAACCCCCTAATCAAACACACAACACTAACCCCCCTTGAAGTATATGAGTGGCAAAAGTCACTAACACTGTTAATAGAAATTATTAATTTACCTTTTTACCCTTCAATTAATTATATTGCTACCAGACTACCATTACATTCTTCAACAACTTACCTAATTTCTTCCCAACCCTAATCAAATCAATTCAATCCCAAACCCTTAGTTCCACAGTGTCTCCACAATTCCAATTAACAAATACAACAAATTCATTTGACAAAGGAAGTAAAGTCAGCCACTGTGAATCACCACAACAATTCCATATTTTTGTTGGACCTAATGATCAACAAAGGGAGTGAAGTTTGGGAGCGGCAATGGAGATAGGGGTGTTGTGTTGCAGGTAGAGAGGACGAAAGACTTAGGGTTTTCATTGAAGATAGAGAGAGAGAGAGAGAGAGGGGGGTTGGCGGTGGCTACAACGGCTTACGGAGGTGGCAATGGCGACAACGGTGGTTGAAGACAATGCCCTCTCTTCATCTTACCCGCCACATGCAACTGTTGCCTACACCAGCTCTCTCTCTGACCACCTCCCCTTTCGATTCCCACCAAGCCGAAACCCCCTGCCCACAGCCTCCCTCCCGCTGATCAAACATCCCAATACACATTGAAACCCCTCAACACTAAAACCCCTATATCAATTCCACATATGTCCACTAAAATCCCCCACCTAATCAACGTATCACCATCAAAACCCTCAATTCATTTGCTGTGAAACTTTTTTTATCCAATCATAGTGGCTTGGCTAATAAAGGTTCTCTAGTTGGTATTAGCCATGAGAGTTTCTATTTATGGCTTGGCATTTCTGGCCATGGAGAGTTGCCGGTTGTGTATATATATACAATGTGTGTATAATAAGGCTATTTTAGTCATAAATTTTTAATTATAGTATGATACATTTATGCCAAATGACTACCGGTTTGATGACAGAAGAGGTTTAGAGTTACGAAACAAAACTATGGTGTGTTTGTTTGGACAGATTGAATAATGGAAAATTATAATTTTGA